AAAATCAGGTATTCCTGAACAGTAGGCGTCCTCTGCTTTATCTACGCCGCCCGCTTTGTAGCTTAGGTCAAATTCAAGGTAAAATTCAAGAATCGTCACTTTATCACTTTATCAGCCTGGCTATTCCTCGTTATGATAAACGGTCTCGCACGTGTTCTGGATGAAGCGGAACTGGGTTTACAGATTCAAAAGCTACATATCCCCTGCGTATTATTAGCTGATGACACGCTCTTATTAGCTGGAATCATCACGAATCTCCAAGCTCAACTAGATATCGTAAATGCGTATGCTAATCTTTGGAGGCTAAATTATAACTCTGCTAAATCTTTGCTGATTGAGTTATCATATAAGAGACGAATCGTCAATAAACCATAAGCTGTATGTTCTCTGGGAGGCGCGATTATCGAATGGACTGATACAAAGGTTTACGCGGGAATTACTTTTTGTTCAAACCTAAAAGCTGATGTCGGTGTAGAAAGCGCGTGCTAAAAAGGTAGAAGGAACCTTAATAGTCTAATGAGTGTTGTATCCATCCAGGCGGATTGAATCCTCTCAAAAGTGCGCAACTCATTAAAGCAATTATCATACAAGGTGTTATATACGGATGTGAACTTTGGGCAAATGCTACGCAGAAGTCCATTGCTATGTTAAATAGAACCATGCGGTATGCTGCACGAAGATGCCAGGGTTTTGAGAAAACTTCGTCGTCGGCCATTACTACCAGAGCTATTGACTTACATGATGATTTATGGTCTGATGTAGAAATCAGAAAACTGTACCTTTGGAACCAACTGTGTAATGCTAAATTATCTTTTGTCTGGAAATCTCTATTTATTATTCGCTTATGTACATTCATGTTCACCTCACAATCGTTTCAAAACGTGAGCTTCATCGTAGACATTTTCCATAGAATGGTGAAATTCTTTTTCGAGTTTGTGTTCTCTGGTGCGTTCTGTAGAGAGTTTTAGTGGAAATCGTTTATTTAGAAAGTCACAACAAACTATTACTATGATGCATGGTGTAAAATGTGCAGAAATCGTCCCGATCTGTTATATTATAGGACAGTTCATCAATATATTGGACCTAATCCCTTGTGGTCTCTAACGTTGAAATTTCCTAAAAGCACATGGAACATTTGTGAATTAATCAAGCTTTCCTACAGGGCTGAATTCCAAAATGTGTGTAAATTGTGCAGCAAAAAAGTTGTGAACAATGACGTTAAACATTTCATTATACAATGTCCCACACTATTCAAAAGTAGAGATATCTTGCTGGAACAAATAGGTAATCTTATAAGCGTTGAACAATATGTACAATACAATATGCTAGAGGAAGACGAAAAATGTTTTCTTTGGACGATGGAGAATGGGGCAATCTGATGGTTGCTATAAGTGACAAACTTGCTGAGATGCTCACAGAAATGAACATACTTCTCCAGAGCAGCTCTAGCTCTTGAGCATGGTTTGAAGAATACTGTAAGAAACTGTAGTATTATGTAAATATGTCTGTCTGTCTGTCTGTCTGTATTATTCTCTATATGTCGCACCTAAAAAAAAAAAAATCACTACCGAAGTGTCACAAAACCATTAGTATAACTCAAAGTGACGAAACTACACTAAGAACAAAACAAAGATTAAAGTAAGTACCATTACAGGAAAACAAGACGGGTAAAATCGGGTGTTCCTGAGCAGTAGGCGTTCTCTGCTTGCCCGCTCTGTAGCTTAGGTCAAATTCAAGGTAAAACTCAAGAATCGTCACGTTCTCATATTGGAAACTTGTGCATTGACATCAAAGCAACGAGACATGTCATGATCGAAAGCGAGGAATGAAAAAGGAAAGTATGTAGTATCATGTCTTTCCTATCTAGCTCAGGAGAGTATACATTGTCAACTAATTTCATTCTATTTAAAGACGTGTCGTTGTTTTATCTGAACATGAAATTGAAGGTCTTGGCTAGGTTCTTGTTACCAGTACTGGTCCCGATAAGCTCATTAATAATTCAGCTTCATATGAAAACAGATCCGAGTCGGACAGAAAAGGGCCTTGTTTCTTCCCATAGGAATGCCTCGTCTATTGAAATATAACAAAGATACTGCCCCTCAGGAATTATATTATTTCATTTTGACCTTTGTTGTGTTTTTCACACAAAATGTTATCCAAAATGATTTTACAACCATACATTTACATATCCGTTCACCTTTCTTGGAAACAAGCTTTTATAGAGATAATTATCGCGTTCCTTTAGTAAAAGCAACAGCACCCGTCCTTGCCGGCAGTAGTAAGACATTGTTTTATTAGTCATTCTTAAAAAAACGTCCCGTGTATTGCAAATTAGAATGTTTCCCACCGTATGAATAAGCTTTGTCGAATGAGGGTATAATGTGCATGCACATTGCGAAAGGTGTCTAAATATACCCACAATAAAACAGTATAACATGATCACTGGATCACCGTCTAGAAATTCGTTCAAATTAGGCACACTAGAGCATAGTTTTTGCACACGCAAAACACAGCCTAATAAAACGCCGAAATGTCTTGATCATGTGTCTTTCAGGCACTGGTGTAGACACGACAGAACATCGAAATTCTTTGTATGTGGTAGAATAGATATAATTGACTGAGGTTTGTATACAATGGTAGAGTATATAACGTAAGAAGCTGGACAGTATTATTCTTTTACATTCTCAAGTTATCAAACTCGTTTAAATTGTTTCATATTTTACGCAGACAGGTTGATTATTTCTTAAACAATAAAAAAAGGATGAACAACACTTGGAAAATGATATATCCAAGATAAAGAAATAAATAAATAAACTACAAAGACAGCAATTGAATAACGATAAATAACAATGACACCGAGATAAAGCGGAACGCTTTGCAGTTTATCTCGGTGCCAAACCACATAACCGCTTGCATTAAAGATAGATAGCAATATACTACAATGGGACATCGAAATAAAAAGCGCCATCATTTGTCGAAATAGAAGAGTGGCAATACACTATAAAAGGACTGCGATATATCATTGATAAATGAAACCAAGCTACAAAGGAGCCACTATAAATACCAATAAATCGCTAGGAATCAACGGGTTATTCAAGTTAAACAACAATAACTTCCAAAGGATCTGCGATAGGTAACAATTCTATCTATATAATTAACTACATATGGACCTCGATATATCTAAGATAAGATCGATTGTCGTGTATCAGAGTTCTTAACAACAAGGTTGAAATTGTATATCAAAGATTAATTAGAGTTCGCCTTTACCACTGAAAATATGTTTTACAGATTCCATGAGTGAAGAAGTTTTAGAGAGGACAGACATGTCATAGCAAGGTGGTATGTGATCACTGTATTGATGTGTGCTGACTACTTACACGGACTAGCCATATGACGAGATGAGAGGGATCACTGCTGACTACTTACACGGACTAGCGATATGACGAGATGAGAGGGATCGCTGCTGACTACTTACACGGGCTAGCGATATGACGAAATGAGAGGGATCGCTGATGACTACTTACAAGGACTAGCGATATGACGAGATGAGAGGGATCGCTGCTGACTACTTACACGGGCTAGCGATATGACGAGATAAGAGGGATCGCTGATAACTGCTTACACGGACTAGCGATATGACGAGATGAGAGGGATCGCTGCTGACTACTGACACGGACTAGCGATATGACGAGATGAGAGGGATCGCTGATGACTACTTACACGGACCAGCGACATGACGAGATGAGAGGGATCGCTGCTGACTACTTACACGGACTAGCGATATGACGAGATGAGAGGGATCTCTGCTGACTACTGACACGGACTAGCGATATGACGAGATGAGAGGGATCGCTGTTGACTACTTATACGGACTAGCGATATGACGAGATGAGAGAGATCGCTGCTGACTACTTACACAGACTAGCGATATGACGAATTGAGAGGGATCGCTGCTGACTACTTATACGGACTAGCGATATGACGAGATGAGAGGGACCGCTGATCACTACTGACGCGGACTAGCGATATGACGAGATGAGAGGGATCGCTGCTGACTACTTACACGGACTAGCGATATGACGAGCTGAGAGGGATCGCTGCTGACTACTGACTCGGACTAGCGATATGACGAGATGAGAGAGATCGCCGCTGACTACTTACACGGACTAGCTATATTACGAGATGAGAGGGATCGCTGCTGACTACTGACCCGGACTAGCGATATGACGAGATGAGAGAGATCGCCGCTGACTCCTTACACGGACTAGCGATATTCCGAGATGAGAGGGATCGCTGCTGACTACTGACACGGACTAGCGATATGACGAGATGAGAGAGATCGCCGCTGACTACTTACACGGACTAGCGATATGACGAGATGAGAGGGATCGCTGTAATCACCTAGAGTTATAACTCATCGGCAGTAATATTACACAAATCACAATAACACATCAGGATAGCATGTGCACAATATAACTGCACAAGGATACACCCATCCTTAATACTCGTTCATGTTAATTTATCAGATATGTTAAAAGGTAATTTTCTTCAAATTGTTCTCCAAAAGGTTTACATTTGTGATACAACTTTCTTTATCTTTTGTAAAAATAAGAGTAAATGGCATTTCTAGTACTATTTCCATTTAATAGTAATAATAAAATACTTCTAATAAAATTGATAGGAACATACCACCCTTTTGCCAAAGGAGATCGATTATGTGCCCTTTTTTCAGAGGTTGTTAGTCGAAAATATGAAATGTTTCAATCATGCATGGGCATTTATGTTGTTCCTTTGTAATAATCATTGGCGAGTGACCGCTTCTGAATACGTTCAACAATTTTCATCACTAACAAATTACAGAGAGCAGAGATCTGCAAATACGACTATTGCATGCACTCTCATTAAGCTTTCGAGTTTGCATAATACATGTCTACCACGATACACGGCAACGCAACAACTTTAGGTTGAGACAGAAATAGTTCGACAGTAATGACACTTACCTCGTCTGTCAGCGCTGCGAGTTGTCCATCTTCATAGGGCCTGGCACTGGCCCGTCTCATATATAGACACGTAAATATACAGGTCAGTGTAAAAAGTGTTGATAGATGCATATTAGTTGTAACAAATAACAATAACTAGTAACTGAAGCGTTAAACAGTTCCAGTCTCCCTTTTGTTTCTTGAAAATGTAGTTTTTCAATACATGGCTTTAACATGTATTGATTCTCTTTTTGAAATTATAATGTTTTTGTATCGTTAGGTCCAAACAATAAAATGAATGGACTCTTTAGTTAGCTAGTACGAACCGTTAACGAATCGATTGTAACGTATCACTATATATATATATAACAACCAATGAGCGTAGTGATACCTATTAACCGCTCCACTTGTTTCATTACTGCGGCCCTATCATTGATCCCGTCACAAAAAACGATGAGCTATCAGATACGGTAATACAGCTCTCTAGGGGAAATATAACAACTGTGCGTCAATATGCAGGCGTCAAGCCTAGCACACCTTTGCATCCCTATCAACTCCTACATATTGTTCGAGTACCCACCTACGTTTTTGTACGTGTTGTACGGCATTTCTGTGCATACTTCGGCTCATTTCTTAGGATCTTTGTATGACGTTGCTGAGAACAAATTGATTTAGAGAACTGTAGTTGTGTCAAACTAACAGTACTAACAGTATTGCATAGCCTACTAACAATATATGGTTGTAACTTATGGCATATTTTGTGAAAAGCAAAACAAAGAACAAAATAAAATTTCCTTAGGATGAAATTGTGAGAAGAAATGAGTGCCCGGTTGACAATGTGCTTGCTGAGTTCTGTGGTGGAGTATCCCCCCCCCCCATACTGTATGTGTGGTGGAGTATCCCCCCATACTGTATGTGGGGTGGAGTATCCCCCCCCCCATACTGTATGTGTGGGGGAATATCCCCCCCATACTGTATGTGGGGTGGAGTATCCCCCCCCCCATACTGTATGTGTGGGGGAAAATCCCCCCCATACTGTATGTGTGGGGGAGTATCCCCCCCCCCATACTGTATGTGGGGTGGAGTATCCCCCCATACTGTATGTGTGGTGGAGTATCCCCCCCCATACTGTATGTGTGGTGGAGTATCCCCCATACTGTATGTGTGGTGGAGTATTCCCCCCCCCATACTGTATGTGTGGTGGAGTATCCCCCCCCATACTGTATGTGTGGTGGAGTATCCCCACCCCATACTGTATGTGTGGTGGAGTATCCCCCCCCATCCTGTATGTGTGGTGGAGTATCCCCCCTCATACTGTATGTGTGGTGGAGTATCCCCCCATATTGTATGTGTGGTGGAGTATCCCCCCCCATACTGTATGTGGGGTGGAGTATCCCCACCCCATACTGTATGTGTGGTGGAGTATCCCCCCCCCCTACTGTATGTGTGGTGGAGTATCCCCCCCCCCATACTGTATGGGTGGTGGAATATCCCCCCCATACTGTATGTGTGGTGGAATATCCCCCCATACTGTATGTGTGGTGGAGTATCCCCACCCCATACTGTATGTGTGGTGGAGTATCCCCCCCCTCATACTGTATGTGTGGTGGAGTATCCCCCCCTCATACTGTATGTGTGGTGGAATATCCCCCCCCATACTGTATATGTGGTGGAATATCCCCCCATACTGTATGTGTGGTGGAGTATCCCCACCCCATACTGTATGTGTGGTGGAGTATCCCCCCATATTGTATGTGTGGTGGAGTATCCCCCCCCATACTGTATGCGTGGTGGAGTATCCCCCATACTGTATGTGTGGTGGAGTATCCCCCCCCATCCTGTATGTGTGGTGGAGTATCCCCCCATACTGTATGTGGGGTGGAGTATCCCCCCCCCCATACTGTATGTGTGGTGGAATATCCCCCCATACTGTATGTGTGGTGGAATTTCCCCCCCCCATACTGTATGTGTGGTGGAGGATCCCCCATACTGTATGTGTGGTGGAGTATTCCCCCCCATACTGTATGTGGGGTGGAGTATCCCCACCCCATACTGTATGTGTGGTGGAGTATCCCCCCCTCATACTGTATGTGTGGTGGAATATCCCCCCCATACTGTATGTGGGGTGGAGTATCCCCACCCCATACTGTATGTGTGGTGGAGTATCCCCCCCTACTGTATGTGTGGTGGAGTATCCCCCCATACTGTATGGGTGGTGGAGTATCCCCCCATACTGTATGTGTGGTGGAATATCCCCCCTATACTGTATGTGTGGTGGAATATCCCCCCCATACTGTATATGTGGTGGAATATCCCCCCATACTGTATGTGTGGTGGAATATCCCCCCATACTGTATGTGTGGTGGAGGATCCCCCCATACTGTATGTGTGGTGGAGTATCCCCCCCATACTGTATATGTAGTGGAGTATCCCCCCCATACTGTATGTGTGGTGGAGTATCCCCCCCATACTGTATATGTAGTGGAGTATCCCCCCCATACTGTATGTGTGGTGGAATATCCCCCCATACTGTATGTGTGGTGGAATTTCCCCCCCCCATACTGGATGTGTGGTGGAGTATCCCCCCCAGACTGTATGTGTGGTGGAATATCCCCCCATACTGTATGTGTGGTGGAATTTCCCCCCCCCATACTGTATGTGTGGTGGAGTATCCCCCCATACTGTATGTTTGGTGGAGTATCTCCCCCCCATACTGTATGTGTGGTGGAGTATCCCCCCCCCATACTGTATGTGTGGTGGAATACCCCCCCCATACTGTATGTGTGGTGGAGTATCCCCCCCCCCATACTGTATGTGTGGTGGAATACCCCACCCATACTGTATGTGTGGTGGGGTATCCCCCCCATACTGTATGGGTGGTGGAGTATCCCCCCAATACTGTATGTGTGGTGGAATTTCCCCCCCCAATACTGTATGTGTGGTGGAATTCCCCCCCCATACTGTATGTGGGGGGGAATATCCCCCCCATACTGTATTTGTGGTGGAGTATCCCCCCAATACTGTATGTGTGGGGGAGTATCCCCCCCCCATAGTATGTGTGGTGGAGTATCTCCCCCATACTGTATGTGTGGGGGAGGACCCCCCCCCCCCCCCCCCATACTGTATGCATTCCTATCGGAACGAAGTAGTTCCCTCTTGGTTTTGTTTTCATTTGAGGCTGAATTTATTAATAGGTTTGTAAAAAATGGAAATAAAAACCTTACGAAGCCGTTTAATTCCATAGTCAGACGTATCGACGATGTACTGTCTGTTAATATTACTTGCTAATCACGTCAATCGTATATATGCAATGAGCTTGAAATTAAAGACACTACAGTCTCGTTGACCAAAATCGCTTGTCTCTGTCACTACTTACAATATGACCAATGGGATAGGCTTACTGTTAACTGAACTGAACTACAATTATCCGATTGTGTAATGCTGTATAACGGCGTTTACTAATTGCATATTTGTAAATGTGATACTTATCAGAGTTATCTTTTAGGTATGTATGTCCCTTAATATATTGTCTCATTTTGTATGGACAAAACGGCTGGATGGTGCAGATTCTTCAATTTTCGGCAAACTGAATATACATTCATATATGTGAGTTCTAAGTTCTTTTTAAAGGTACAAGTTGGCAGACTCTGCTAGCGCATTTCTTAGGCCCCGATGTTTGCCGGAACTTTGATAGCCACAAACATCTCTTTAATAAGATTCATTTGTTTGGAAATATGTATGTATCGAAGTTTAACATTAGGCAAGAGCAATGCATATGAAATGTCTCGCAACGATTCAACAACAACTGGTCCTATGGTCAAGCTTTGACTCTGAGCGATTTGTAGTGTTAACCTGTACAACGACGTGACGTAATTCTAGGCTGCACATGTCGCTCGATTACGGGACGTTGACACATCCACAACAATATATTTTGAATTAGTCGCCAGGTATACGTACTGGCCGTAGGTCGGCAGATCTCTCCGGGAACTCCGGCTCCACCACCAAAACTTGACACGTCCTTAAATGACCATAACTGTTAATAGGACGCAAAACACAAACACACCAAACAATAATATATTTTCAATTAGAGGCATGGTTCATAATCTACACACTTTACTCATTAACGTATTCAAAACTAACAGGTGCTCCTATATATTATAGGTCATTTTTATAATGTTGGGGAGTTCATACAACTGCTGGTGTTTCATCAGTAATTTAGACTAATTGGAATTAGTCCTTGGAAGATAAAACAGCTGCGGAGTATGACCATTTTTGATTTTAAACATTCTGTAACTATAACCGAATTATTATAAAAGGTGCAATCGCATATGTGCCTCACGTGCATACTTTCTTGTTAAATAAAACGTGTCAATATGCAATAGGTCAAACTCAATAAAACTGCGGCTTTCCTGGTACCTTGTCATTCTCGCCTTGCCGTCTCCAGCTTGGCCAGTGTACGTTGGTGTGGGGAATGCACGCGTTGTTTGCGCCTCTCTCACACGATATATAACCTAGATTGATAATGACTGGACGTCTTTAAATGTAAAATAATGTTTAATTTATGTCCACTGGCCGTAAAGCCAAGCATAAAACCACGGGTCCTCCATTGTGCTTACTGTTATTGCTCGGGATACATGGACGATATGCAAGTTGCCACACGAAACAATCATTGTGCTGCCAGAGAGCTGGGGACCCGTTTGAGTACGAAAGCCAGTACGTGTAATTCCAGCGGATAGTTTGGTACGTCATGACGTTATACATCACTGCTAATTAACTGTACAGTGAAATTAAAACTTCATTTACGCATAAATGAGCGAGTAAATAATTTGATAAAAAGGTCAATCAATTTAGGTTCAGGGTAATAAAAAGAAGGAATTCAGGTCAATGTTAGGATTGTTGTAGAATAATGTTTAAACCTTATACCAGTTACATAACATTTAATGAAAATAATTCCTTATTGAAAGGTTTTGTACTCAAGCTAATACATGTAGTTAAATTAAATGAACCCACGATTGAAGGTGCATTGATAGTCTTTATAATGTTTAAATAAAGGGTTCAGTGAGACAAGGAACATATATAGTCTTGCAAATGAAATAAATAAACTAAAGAATGGAGATCTATGTATAACTTTAATGTTTTATTGAACACCACATATAGTTTACAATGGAAAACTTTGATTATACTTATGTAAATACAAAAATTAAATAACAGTTAATACATGTTTTTTTTTTTTTTTTTTTTTTTTTT